CTGTCTGCTGGGTGAGGCACACGCACGCACACACACACACACACACAGCAGATTAACTAAAGTCTGAAAACTTTATATTAAAACAGAAAAACCTGTAAACATTAAATTATTAGCAACAAATAAAACAAATTTTCTGCTGAACTGAAGCTAATTAGTAATAAAATTGTTTTATATTCCATTTATTTTATTATTTGTTAAATAAGTGAAATTAAGGAAAGTATGAGCTAAACTGAGCTGAATGACTTTAAGGAGCTAAACAGTAGCTAAACATAGAGAACTGTACAGTGGCTAAAAAGTAATGATGGTAGCTAAAAGCAAAAAAATGTAGCTACAACAACAACAAAACTCTAAAGCAGCTGAACAGTACCAAAAGGTTATATAAGCTGAATGGTAGCTAAAATTAGATGAAAATTAGCTAAAAATAATTGAATGGTAGATGGCAAGTATAAGGCAAAGACATATAGCTAAAAATTAAAGAGAGCTGAACAATAGCTAAAAGATAATTGAAGCAAATGGTAGCTAAAAGTAACAAAAGCTGAATCATAGCTAAAATCTAAAAAGGGAGCTGAAAAGTAAGTTAAAGCTAACAGAAGCTAAATTGTAACTAAAATGAGCAGAACAGTAGCTAAAACTAAATGGAGCTGAATAGTAGCTGTAAGTTAAGAAACTAAACGGTAGCTAAATTTTTTTAAAAAGCAGTACGACAACAGAACTGTTGTTGAAAGCTAAAAGTGTCCGAATGGTAGCTGAAAGCTAAAATGAGCAAACAGAGCCTTTAGCTGCAGCTGAACAGAACAACATTAAAGAAGCTGAAGAGTTCGCCACGAGTTTCTGTAGGAAAGTGTTTGTAGTCAAATATTTAGAAAATAACAAATAAATAAAAAAACATCACATCTGCCCAATGAGCCGAACGTTTTGATACATAAGCAGCTAAAATACCAAAGTTTGCAAAGATTGTAAAAAAAACAGTTTCATTGTGAATTAAAAAAATCTTCAGCAGCTTTGATTCAGAGCAGGACGAGCTCTTCGTCCTTCAGATGCGTTCAGGGCGTCCCCCATCAATCACCCGGGCCCCCCGCCCCCCTAAACCAACAGACTGCGGGGGTAAACGACCCGACGCCCCTCGTTAAAATTCATCAGAGGAAGTAACGAGTCAGACGCTCGGTGATCATCTCTGCAGGAAGCAGCGTTTGTCGTCGCCTCCGTTTAAACGAACGGCTCCAAAAACACGAGCCGAGGACGACTCTCGGCTACTACCACCTCACCCTTTAGCTCATCTGTTAAATCCACCAAGAAGTAAACACTTTGTGTTTATTAAACTCCCACCGCAGAACCACAAACTTATTTGCTGCGGTTTCAAACTTTTTTTTGGTGGGGGGGACTTACCATCATATTAATGAACACATTTAACTTTGTGTTTTAAAGTATTTTTATTACAAAATAAAAGATTATTATTCTTAAAATGGATCTCGTCACTTAACAAAACAAGTTTTATTTACTTTATTTTTCTAAATAGTTTAAAATAAATCAGATTTTACTAAATACGAATCATCATTCACTCTTTGCTTATTTATTCTAAGTTTTATTCATTTTTTGACAGATATTAAAGTCAAAGAGCAGAGCGTCGAGAACATGATGAGGTAAGAACCGGACCGGACCGGACCCGACCCCCCCCTCTGGTTTGTGGTCTGATGAGGTCATCGGGACGTTTTGGAGCCGAGCCTCACTGAGCACGTGCGGGCGCGAGGGTTGGCACAGATCAAAGCGAAACCACCAAACTCTGCTCCGGCTGAGCTGTGCCTGCCATGACCTTTGACCTTTGACTGATGGACTCCATATGACCTTTGGCCCCTCTTAGTTGCCTCATTGCTGATGTCTTTCCGTCTTGACGTCACACCTGTACGCTCCAGAGCAGCAGAAACACCTAATTGTGAGCAGCTCCTGTTGAAACCCAGTCTTTATTGATTATTGATCGCAGAGGGAAGAAGATCTACGAGCCGCCTCGCTTCATGACCGTCGGTCAGGCTGCCGATCAGCTGATTCAGATCGTCCAGCGACGGCGGGAGGAAGGGGCGGAGCTAGGTGAGTCGCACCTGATCTGCTCGACGATCATCAAAACCTACAGATTTAGTCTTCGGAGTTTAGTTTCACCGGTAACATCACAAGTTTAATAACTTCAAACATTTAGCGTAATGAAAGGAATGACCTTTGACCTTTGCCAGATTGAGGCAGCTTCTGGGGTCAAACTACATTTTAGTAAAAATCTACAGAAATAAAAGTTGACAGATACTGATCACCAGTTTTATGATTTATAGGAGTCGTTCAGTTTTTGTGAAATATTTCTGATCAGTCAGTATCTTACCTGCAGCAGATAGTCAAGCAGCTTCAAGAGAACTTCAGCATCTAAACCAACTCAGATATTTGAGTTTTGTAACGAGGCGTTTTCTTCGTCACCAGGTGTGACCGAGGACACGGTGTGCGTCGGTTTGGCCCGGCTCGGCTCGGACGACCAGACGATCCGCGTGGGGACGTTGCGTCAGCTGGCGTCCTGCGACCTCGGCGGGCCGCTCCACTCGCTGGTGGTGACGGGTCAACTCCACCCGCTGGAGGTGGACATGCTGCGAGTAAACGCTGAACCGGAGGCGCTGGAGCACCTGAAGATGGTCGACAGCTCGACGTACACCTCCTAACACGAGGAGGACGGACTTGAATCAGAAAACTTGGTTTACGTCGTCACGGAGGAGTCACGTGACTTCACGTCACCAATAAAGATGAAGATGAAGTGACTCCACTCAGAAGGTCAGAATTATTTATTACAGCGGTAAAAAAAAAAGTCCCACTGACAGGTCACATGGTTTGGCACAGTAAAAACAGTGACATCACGCTTCCTGCGGACCAATCAGGTCTCAGTGGTGATGTCAGCAGTAGTGGGAGGAGCTCAGATTGTCTCTGATTCACGATGAAGGCACTTACCCAGAATGCTTTGCTCCAGTTAAAGTGCAAAGGGGGAGAAGGGAGGGCTTGTTGCCGAGCGACCCAAAAAAGTAGGCGGGGCTGTTCAAGTTCATCAGTTCTTCATGCGCCCCCCCTCCCTTCCCTCTGTCTGTCCTGCAGCGACTGTGGGGTCAGAAGTCGCTGCAGCGATACCTATATGTGATTGGTCCCAGGTTTGGAGGAGGAGCTTCTACATGGCGGCCACGTCGATCTGAACGTACAGCTGTCGAACTCCAACCTGACGACGAAGAGAACGCAGAACGTCAAATACACGATAAAAATAATAAAACTTTAAAAAGTACTGTGGAAAATACTAAATACTGAACTACAGTAAACACAAAGTACTACAGAAATCCAGTAAAACGCTCGTTTTGAAAAGACGTCAGATTTTCACATTTATTTGTCCTGAGCCTCGAGTTGATTTGTTGTTTTTTTAACTCAGAGAAAATGAACTAAGGCAGTTTTTGACAATTTACAAGAAAAAAAATTGTTAAAAAAAAAAAACTTTCATGCAGCTCTTTAGGAAATCAAGAAAACGTTTGGAGACATTTTAAAAACTTGAATGCTTCTTGCCGTTTGGGTCTCACTGGACTGAGGCGTTGTGACAAACGTTAAAATCATCAGCTTCAGTCGCAACATGCTAACATGCTAATTAGCGCATGACGACGGACGTGTAAAAGTGAAATAGTAGTTTTAGCTCATAATTTCCGTGCGGTCAATCTTTAGCCTGAACTGAACTTTGGAAGGGTTCAGGTTCGGCTGCGATGCGTTCAGGTACCTGAGTGAAGATGTGGTGCGTCTGGCTGAGGATCCAGCGGGTGTCGGCGTCGGGGGCCACCAGCAGCTTTAACGTTCCGATATAAACGTCGGTGCACAGAGTCCAGAAGTGAGGTTCCTGCAGGTTGTAGACTCCCTGCAGCTGCTGCACCTGAATGACACACCAGGAATTAGACACATCCGCCCCACAGGAAGTGGGTGACGCTGGATCAGGTGGGGTTTGTTTAAGTACGAACCCTCTGGTAGCACTCGGGCAGGGTGTGGTCAAGTGAAGGCGGGGTTCTCTGCATCAAGATGCCGATGGACTCCTTCAGCAGCGGCACCACGCTGAGGGTCAAAGGTCAAAGGTTAGGACAGACCCATATGAGATAAGATCTTAAAAACGACCCTGAAACTCAACGAGTTTGTTTCTGCAGCACAGATCCATCTGTAGATGTTTAACTCGGCGATGACTCGGACTTTCCAGCTGCAGAAACCCGATCTCTGTGGTTGTGCCGAGGCCTCTCAGCTGACCACAGCGCTGCTCTGCCGAGTCCGAAAATATGCAGCTGCGCTCTGTTCCAGGCATCAGACGCCATCAGCACGCACCGACTCCATTTATCACAGAGGATTCTCAGAAATCTGACCGCCACGTCTCCATCCCGAGCACCGGCCAGCCAGGACCAGAACCCAGGTCCGTGCCGGTGGTTTGGCACGTTGGAGCCCATTAACTGCTAAACGCTCATTCTTCACGAGTGGAAACCATTTTCCATCAGCTCTGAGATCGATTTTCTGCCTTCCAGGTTCGTCGGTCCTCTGGAGACGGAACCGGACAGAACCCATAAGTCTTTAGGGTTCAGCTTTAAGATGGCCGACACGCCAAACCAAAGTTCGGTTTGAAACCTGCACCCGTGTCCACCAGACCACTTCTCTGGATTATTGCACAGTTCTGGGTCATTAATGAGACGTTTGGGACAAACAGGCTAATGTTAGCGTTTATAAACATCCTGAGGTCAAACAGGAAGTGTTCTGAACATACGGGAGATTTATTCATCGGACGGTCACTGGTTCAACTTCCCGACAGAAAACATCAAAATGTGGGTGTGAAAGGTGAAGCACCCACCACCCTCATTTGCTCCACTCTGGGCCCTTGAGCAAGGCCCGTAACCTCCACCTGCTCCACACAGAGGGCTGTAGTAGCTCGGTGGTCGAGTCGGGAAGGTTCATCCAGTCGCTGGTGTCCATGTCCAGCAGTCACTGTGTGAGAGGCGGGGGACACCTGGACATGTCTCCAGTCCATCACAGGGACACGGAGACAAACATCATATCCCTCTCTCACCTACAATCAGCCTAACATGCATGTTTTTGGTCTGTGGGAGGAAACTGGAGCACCCGGAGAAAACCCACGCATGCACGGAGAGAACATGTAAACTCCACCCAGAAAGGTCCCAGGCTGGGATTTGAACCAGGGACCTGCTCGCTGAGAGGCAGCAGCTCTACCAGCTGCACCACCTGAAGGTCATCCAGCATAAAAACAATCACCAAGTCTTCGTGCGACAGTTCGCTGTGGCGACCCCTGAAGGAGCAGCCGAAAGAAGAAGAGAAAAAATGACTGAAAATAATGTATTATATTAAAAAAGTAAAAAGTATTACATTACAACATAAACGAGAGATTAAAAAATGCACTTATAAAGGGATTTCAATACGGGTGATTTCCCCTGAAGAACATTAGAGAGCGTTTAAAAACAAAAATACCAAAAAATAATTAGGAACAGTCGTGTTCGTCAACAACAAATTTAAAAAAAAGATCAGTTTCCTGAAATTGTTCCAGTGGTCTTTTAAAAAGTTCTAATCGTTACTGAAACAGTTCTATTGATTGTTCCAGATAACTGAAGAGGTTTAAAAGCGTCGCAGATCAGAGGTGATGTGATCCAGGAATTGATAAAGTGGCTCCAGAGCTGCTGAGTTTTTTAACATCTTATTGGAAGTCCAGTCAAAACTTTCAGATTATTTTAATCCTTGAAATTCTACATCAAGTGAAACATCAGAAGTTTGTGGCTAAAATTTAAAAATGGGTCTTTAAAAGGTTTCTGGTTTAATTTGGGCTCATTAAGAACAAAATGTTCTTGATCGTTGGGGATGAAGATGAAAAGAGAGAAACTGATGGAAGGTTTAAAAACATTAGAAGCAGCTTCCTGTCAGAGGAGTTGTTCGACTGCTTTAGGACAGAGGCACCTCGCCCCCACTGACACAGCCGTTAGCGTGGTCACAGCAGGCCACGCAGCGGTTGGATCAAGCTCCGCCCACCTGTCTGGTCTGTCGTAGGCAGCAGTTACAGCTGTCAATCAACAGGGTCAAGGCCAGTTCACAGAGAGACATGAAACGGACGTCGGTGTGTTTAAGGAGTCGCCTCAACAGAAAACCTCCAGTAAATCACACGATCAGGAAATCTTTGTTTTGTTACGTTGATTAACGAGTGACACGACTCCGGTAAAGTGATCGGTGTCTCCCGACTCCGGTGAGGATGGCTAACCAACCCGAGTAACTAATATTTCAAAAGATCCACCGGACTACAATAACTTCATATGCATCACCTGGCACCGGTAAATTGATCAGCAGCATCCGAATTGTAGAACGGGAAAAGCCACCAGACTCCGGTAATCAATAACTGTCACCCGACTCCTGTAATCAATAACTGTCACCCGACTCCGGTAATCAATAACTGTCACCCGACTCCGGTAATCAATAACTGTCACCCGACTCCGGTAATCAATAAAGGTCACCCGACTCCAGTAATCAATAAAGGTCACCTGACTCCAGTAATCAATAAAGGTCACCTGACTCCGGTAATCCAATAAAGGTCACCTGACTCCGGTAATCAATAAAGGTCACCTGACTCTGATAATCAATAAAGGTCACCTGACTCCGATGAGGAGCGCGATCAGCATGGAGCAGATGGGATCGGCGATCATCAGCTCGTACTTCTGCATCAGCAGGGCGGAGATGATGACGCCGACGCTGCCGAGCGTGTCGGCGATGATGTGGAGGAGGACTCCTGGGAACGTATCCAACAAAACTTTATTAACACAGACACTAGTGACGATCACGGAACAAC